TCTCAAATTCTACGCCCATCAAAGTATATTTCCCTATTTATTTGCATTCAACTCCCATGAACTTAACCATCCATGAAATCTGAATGTGGTTCTACTTTGTTGAGAATTACACAGCCCTCTTGGGTTTTAATGCAATTACAATACATTTTAACACTACAACGAACCTTTATTGTAATGTAAATAAAGTGCAAGTAAAAACCATCACATTGATAATTAAATCCACTTCTAACATGCATCACAAAATCTTAAGCATGAATTCTACTCATTACAGAAGAAAAGTAAAATGAAAATAATGGCATAATCTTCTCATACCATTATTTCCTAACAAGAAGAGAGAGTAAGAGAAGCCCATCACAAAGCATTAAGAAAACACAACAAAAACTTCATTTAACCAAAGCAGATCCACTACATAAGTGTTTACAAAAATCAAAAAATAATGAAGAACACAATACTTAGTTTTTTCCCTTTGAAAGAAATAGGAATATCTCTCCCATAAAGACTCCCGCCGCAAAGTCCCCCGCCAATCCATGCAATGCTAGAACATCTCCTTACAAATTCTCTCAAAATCTCCTCTCCAATCTCTTCAAAATGGTAGAAATCTACATTTATACTCCTATTCTAAAAATCCTAAACTTTCTCCACACTTTTCCTAACATTCCTCTCACAAAAAAGCCCTCTTTTTCTAACGTAAATTCGTTCTTTTAAAGTGTAGGGATGAAGTTTGAAGAGTTGCCACAAGAATCCTTTCAAAAAGCATCCAAATACGTTGAATTTCGGCCCATAACCGCCAAAAGTCGGTCCATAGTCGTCCCGGGCGCCATCGGCGGGCTCGAGGGCGCCTTTGGTGAGCTTTTCTGTCATTTTTCATTCTTCTCGAGTAAATCTCGCCGTCTGTGCCATTTTGCCAATTTCAGAAACTTAAAGATCATTGTAGCTTTACGATTACATTATAAAAAAGCTTCCTCTGAAATGTAGCATTTTGAAAACAACCGTTTCTGGAATCTTCTCGAGTAAATCACTTAAAGCTACAATTACACAAGGAATTGTAGGGCTATTGCACATAAATCTCCACCGTTTTTGCCCCGTTTAGCTCCGTTTTAGCTCTATTTTGCCCATTTCAGTTGCGTTGTGTTCCTAGCATATAACCCTACAAAATAAGCATGAAAACAACATTCCTTTCAAATGTAATCTCATTCAAAAATATGTAAGAAATGTAAAAGAGATTAAACATCGAAATACTTATCGAAATGTGACAGAGCAAAATTTCATTTCTTGCTCGTTTTTGCTCTAAATTGCACTGTTTTTGTTTCTTTTTCTTCAAAAGTCAAATTCTTGTACCGGAAACAAAAAAATACAAAATACCTTCCTTTAAAGAGCAATGTCTTTTAAATTAAGCATAAAATGTATATGAAAAATCAAGCATTTTTTAGGCGTGTCACCAAGGCAATTGATTCCCACCTTCCATAAGCCATCTCTACCATTAAGAAACCCTAAATTTTCCATTAAAATAGAGGGAAAAATTCAATCCTGACATCAACTTATTCAAAACTCTAATTTAACCATCCCAAAAGCTTCCAAAGACCTCCATGAGTCTCCCTTAATCAAAATTAAGGCTTTCCGAGCTCTCCAACCTATCTCAACACCAACCCGAGCTACCATTTGGTCTAGTTCATAACTTTGAAATTTAGCTTAAATTGAGATAAGGAGGAGCTTCGTGGTGTTAAGGTGATCGTCTCTATCAAGCCCAATTGAGGCCACACCTCTTAAGACAAGATATGGGTTAAAATCCTTAAATTTAGCTTTAGTTTTGGTCTTTTTTTGAAAGAAATGAACAATGCATGCCCACCTAGCTGTATAGATAGCTTTTTCTCGACAAGATGAACATGTAGGAATGAAATCCAAGTGATTTGATTAAGAATAAAAAAAGATCTTAGGGTTTAATTGTGGACGGTTCTCGATTCTGCATCCCATGGGGATGATGAACCGATATCATACATTTTCGTGTATTAGGAATGGACAACATAGATTAAATCAGATCACTAGATTGTGGGGACTGGAGTAACAGATTACAGAACAACTTGGCAACCTCGTGGAAAGCGCATCCAATCTCGGAGCTCCTCGTGGATATTCGACGACTCTGAGGTTCAAGTCAGTGCCGATATGGTTAAGTATATAATTCAGAATTTCTAAATTAATTTAATCTATAAAATGTATAAAACTTCAAAAATTTATAACAGTGTAAAAAAACCACAAAAATAAAATAAAATAAAACTCTAAACTCAGGGAACAAAATAAGAAAAAAAATAATAAATGGAAATAAATAAATTATATTTAATTTTTAATTAACTAAATACTTTATATAGTATTTTAATTATTAAAAATTCAATATGATCAAAAAAATATGAAAATTTCAATGATTGTTCCCTCCACCCTTAGGAACATTTTCTGATTTTGCCAGAGTCGGGGCTTTTCCTAAAATTAAAATGACCAATTTTCTACCAAAACTATAATTATTTAAAAAAAAAACTATAAGAGATAAAAAATGGAAATTAACTAGAAAATTTAGGGTGATAAAATTGATCTCGAAAAAAAATTATAAAATTAAAATAAGGAACTTATGGGTGAAAATGTAAAATTAAAAATTTACACTCTAACTCGAATTGTTCTCATATTCAGTTTAAGACATCAAACCAATCCTAGGACCATGGCTTTAGGGGATCAACAGTGTGTTTACCCCTTTTAACCAAGAGGTTGCCTTTAATGACCAAGGGTTAGCCCAATTTGAGCCTAAACCTGGTCTAGGCTTAACTTAACTTAAACTTAGCCCAATAAGTTCATAATTGGACTCACCATAATTAAGTTTAAGTCAAGGTCTAGCCAGGTCTAACTTAAACCCTAACTTTTAAGTCTAACCCACATTAGACCTTACCTAAACCCCAAGTCTAACCAAACTTATACTCAGCGTAACTTTTTAGGTCTAACCCACATTTGACCTAACCCAAACCCTAAGTCTAACTAAACTTAGACTTAGCCCAAAATTTTAGGTCTAACCCACATTAAACATAACCAAAACTCTAAGTCTAACAAACTTATACTTAGTTTAACCCTTTTGGGTCTAACTCACATTAGACCTAACCTAAACGCTAAGTCTAACCAAACTTAGACTTAGCCCAACCTTTTAGGTCTAACCCACATTAGAACTAAGATAAACCCTAAGTCTAACCAAACTTTGATTTAGCCAAACCTTTTAGGTGAAATCCATATTAGACCTAACATAAACCCTAAATTTAACCAAACTTATACTTAGTGTAACTTTTTAGGTCTAACCCACATTGGACCTAACCTAAACCCTAATTCTAACCAAACTTAGAATTAGTGTAACTTTTAAGTCAAACCTATTTTAAACCTAACATAAACTCCAAGTTTAAGCAAACTTATTGCAACCTTTTAGGTCTAACCCACATTAGACCTAACTTAAACCCAAAGTTTAACCAAACTTAGACTTAGTGTAACTTCTTAGGTCTAACCCACATTAGACCTAAACTTAAGCCTAAGTCTAATGAAACTTTGACTTAGTCCAACCTTTAGATCTAGCCCACATTAAACCTAATATAAACCCGAGTCTACCAAACTTAGACCTAGTGTTACAAACTTTTAATAAATCTCATTATAAACAAATTTTTGAGATTTAAAGAAACTAGAATGAGTGAAGTAGCATGGGAGGAAAGATGAGGGTTACGTGATTTCATGTAGGAATAGAGTAAAAGGGGGAAAAATATTGAAGTTTCGAAGGTCTTTCTTTGTATGTTATGGTATTATCGTTGCCTTCATAAACGCTTGCAATTGTGATTGTATTGTAATGTTTTTGATAGGAGAGGGGGAAGGGGAAGGCATGCCAGAGTGTTGAGCTACATTTAATATAATTTTTTAAAGTTAATTTTAAGTAATTTAAATAGGTACTAATTCATAATTATTCAATCTGCTAATTAAAACTAATTTTAATTTAGTAAATGTAATTACAATTGATATATACTTGATAATTAAAATAATTTAAAAAATCATTTTGGATTCATGTTTAATTAATTTATTTAGTTTATAATTAATGATCACTTAGCTTAGTAAACAATAATTATCAATTAGTAATTTATTATTAAAATATGATTAATTATTAACTTACTCTCAAAAATACTTACTAATGACTAATTATTTTTAGTAAATAGTTAATTATTGAAAATAATAAAAAAATTAAAAAATTAAATTAAAATTAACTATGCTTAACAATTACATCATTAATATGTAGTATTATATTAAATTTAATTTTAAACTATTAGAATTAAATCCTAAAATAAATTGCTAACTAATTTTAGGTGAATTGAGCAAATTTAATGTGCGTTATGCAATAATAGTTAATGATTTAATTGCCTTATTTTTACTAAATCAAAGCTTACAATATTTATTAAATTTATATAAGCTAATTCATACTTGCAACCAAACAACCCCTTGGGTTTATGGGAGAGAAAAGAGCGATCGAATGTTATTATGCGTTGAGGCTGATGTGAAGTGTAGAGGAATTGGCGAAGATTGATAGATTCAAACAAGGGCTGCACCAATTGCCAACTTTCTGTTTGTCAGCCTCACTTCACCCAATAAGTATGTTTCACCCCCTTTGCTATAAACCTCCCTCTCCCATGCAAGCCACTTCAAACCTTCGTTAAAAATTTGATTTTGAACTTGATGTGAAACTTGGTTTGAAATAATATTGATTCATGGGGGGTTTGAACTCATGTTTTAATCAAATTTTAATATGTCCAAATTAATTATGAGTAGTTTGAATGACTATGAACTTTTATCTTTCTATTCATTTTGTTTTAAAATCAAATTTTGAATGGATTTGCCTAACCAAATTTTGAGCATAAAATTTTATTTTTATTAATTTTGATGTGACTTAAATAATTAAAAATTTAAAAGTTAATTAGTGTTTTAAAATATAATTGGCTCCTTGAAAAACGAAAAACGAAGAACACAACCCGCAAAACCCCCTCCCACGTTTTATTTTGCCAGGTTCGTATTTTTCCATTCCTTGTTTGATTGGAGCTCCCTCCATGGATTTCCTGCCGGGACCCAAATTTCTTTCGTCTGATTTGATAACCCTAATTTCTTTCTTCTAGTCTCACCATCTTCTTTGTCGTTTGCTGCGTGATCCAGGCTGCGGGTTGTCGTGCAATTCGGAAACTTCTCCCGCCATTTCGCCATTGAAGTGGCACACAAGGGATGGAAGGAGGCGGAGCGGCGTACAATCCTCGGACACCTGAGGAGGTCTTCAGGGATTTCAGAGGCCGTCGGGCGGGCATGGTGAAGGCACTGACGACAGGTCTTTGCTATGCCCTATCCCACTACCTTCCGTGTTATTTCGCGCGGATTTTACTGTTTTTGTAAATTTGTTGCATACTCTCCCGTGCAATGTGTATTCTAATTTATAGTCTGCTTTCTTGTTTTGATGGTGGGGGTGCTGTTTCAGAAGTGGATAAGTTCTACCAGCTGTGTGATCCGGGTAAGTTGTATTATACTGTGCCAGGCTTTTTTCGGTTTTTACCAAAATTTTCTGTTTCAGCCGGTGAGTTTTTGAGAATCTAGCGACTAGCGAGAGTGATATTTGGGGTTTTGGTCATGGTTAATAGCTCCTCTTGCTCTGTTATGTTTGATTGCTTTCATTCATTTCGATACCAAGGTTGGATTTTGGGATTTGCTAGCTAAATATTGATATTTCTTCAACTGATAGCATGCAGGAAATATCTTTTTTTCTTGTTGTTTGTTGGATTTAGATCAATGGAAAATTAAATTTTACTAGCATTTCATAATCTATGAATGGTGCTTTTCTCCCTCCCCTTTTTTTTTTTTGGTTGGTAACGAGAGACGTTACCTTCGTTGCCTGCCGATTCTTTTTTTATTGTTCTCTTTGTAACATGTATTTTTAATTTATATCTAAATTGGTATTCATGTTGAGATGCGTACACAGACGCACACAGAGCTGCACCAAGATCATCATGTTGAACACATTCTTACGGTAGTCTGTTCATGTTGTTGCTTCTTTGTAAACCATGGTTAATACTATGTTTCATGCCTTAATGGTAAAATGCTTTTATATTTCAGAAAAGGAGAACTTATGTCTTTATGGGCTTCCTAATGAGACCTGGGAGGTGACCTTGCCTGCCGAGGAAGTGCCCCCTGAGCTCCCTGAACCTGCATTAGGAATAAATTTTGCTAGGGATGGCATGGATGAAAAGGATTGGTTGTCACTTGTTGCAGTTCATAGTGATGCATGGTTATTTGCAGTTGCCTTCTATTTTGGAGCTCGGTTTGGATTTGACAAAGAGGCCAGGTAAATTTTAGGTACAAACTTGCTATTGTTGGCGACTTTTAATATAAAAAATTAGCATTGAACAAGCTCCCGATCAATGCAAATCAACATTTGAATTTAAATGCCCTTATGTAACTTGATTAGTCGGCCTCTCATTGGTAGAATGCCAGGCAATAACAATCCCAAGTAATGGGAAATTTCACGATTGAGTCACGTCTTACCGAGTAAGTTACATTACTCGGCCTAAATCAAGACTAGTAACTGATAGATTTTAGTCAAAAGGGATTGAATTGTAGCCATTGATCATTATGAGCATCCACTGTAATCTAAATAACTCTCTTTACAAAGAAATGCTTTGCTTAACAATTAACAAATCTATCAATAAAGCCACAACTACACACTAATATCCAGTCATGCCCCACGGTGGGGAATATCCACCGATGGATGCAAAGGAAAGGGGTTTTGATGTATTATTCTTATTCTTGCTAATCTATTGGATTTTGTTCCCCAATAATAGAACTTTTTTTTTGCACTATATTATTTTTGGGTGGTTTTCTGCGTTTGTATCTTTATGAAGTAATACTTGAGCTAAATTCTCCACTTGTCATAAAAGTGTTTTGACAATTTTGGTGTTTTTAATGAGAACATGGAAAATTGAATGAAAACTAACACTATTTAAAAAATTGTCCGAGTTTTACACCTCGAGGAGCGCCTTGATTCGAGGTGTCAAAGAATAGTCTTGAGGCGTAAGCCTCGAGCTCGTGGGTGAGGTTTATGCCTTTGTAAAGTGAGGCGTAAGCCTCAATGCAGTTGCGCCTCAAGGCGTATGAGGCACTTTGAGGAACGTCTGAGACACACTGTATTTGCTTACCATCCTAAGCAAAGCCAACGAGCATCATCCCGAGCTCCACACTTTTGTCTCCTAATTGTTGTCATCTCGAACGCCATACTTCATATTTCGATCATCGTCGTTCTAAGTGCTGCGCTTCGTCTCCCAATCATTGTGTCCTAAACAATGCATTGTCTCCCAATTGTCATCGCCCCAAGCCCTTTCGACATCGTTTGAGTTCGTTCAAGCGCCCCCTATTTTGGTTTCGACAGTGCGTCCCAGTCGAGCTTCAATAGAGTCTTCTTCTGTGCCCCGCAGACGAGCTGCTTTATTATCTATCACGTACGTGCTTTATCATAGTCTTCTCTGCAGGCAACTTCTTTGTTTTCCGCACCATAGATGAGCTTGCATGATAATTCCTTAAGCTTGAGGGATAGTAAATAGTAGTACATAATTATATATAGCTTTAATTTTGTTCGAAGAAGAGGTCAATTCACAATATTAATATATGAATTATGTTTACATTCAAATTCAATTTAATTTCCCGATAATTCTTCTATTTTGAGGCTTATGCTTCGATCCGCTTAGAGAATTACGCCTTGCCTCGTTTTGCTAAGTAAAAACGTCTCAATTCCCGATTTTACCTTTTAAAGCATTGGAAAATAGTGTTTTCACCAGCAGCCATCAACAAAATGAAGCTTTTCTTTCTCAAAAAATGAATCTATTCATGCGAAAATGAGAGAAATAGAGAATTTCCAATGCGTAGAGGAAGCATAGGAAGAAGTAGGAGAAATAACTACTACCCACCTAGCAACAAATTTGAGCAATTTTAGAAACAAATTATGGCAATTCGCAGCATCATATTGGAGCCTAGAAATAATAATTCACTGTCAAGTTGTTCAACCATAAGACTCATGGTTGCAGGATAAAGTTCTTTTGAGCCAAATAATAAGCATCCGAGTAATGTTCAAACCATTTGTTGTTAACAATGTAATACCTGAAGTCAAATGGCTAACTGCATATCTTGTAACTCCATCGCAAGAAGCACCAAAAGAAGAAAAAAAAAAGAAAAGAAAAGAAAAATGAAAACAGACTAAGATTTTTTAACCCTATTATACTTGAATTTGTTTAGTTGCAGGAGACTAACTCGAGACCTAGTAGGAAAATAGTGGTTGACCCAATTCCAACCAAATTTATGGTTCCATAGTTATCCATTTACAATGACTTATTTGACCCATGACATGATTTGCCGTTGGGGTGTGAAAGATTCTTGAATTGGTAGGAAAATAATTAGATCGTGGAATTAGGCTTTCTACGAAGGAATTAAGAGATAATAATTTCATTTCATAATATAATCGAGAGGTGAACAAGATGGGGCATTATTTTTATTGGAATTTATGATTTACAGTTTGGCCATGCCTCATTAGAGAGGAGAGAAAGGGCTTGTGTGGAGTTTGGGCAAAAAAAATGGAGAGATGGAGAGAGGGTTAGAAGTGAGTTTTGGAGGAAGGATAATGATTGTTCCTTCATGGTTGAATCTCTTTTATCTAAGTTACTTGAAGGCTTTGTTATGGCCTTAAATGGCCAGGAAATCTTGGTATTGATAAGCTATTGGATACAATACTCTCCTTATCTCAATATCATTGCAATTCTAGAATTTATGAGATATTCTCTTAATTCTTTTTTAGTTTTCATGCTTAAAACATTTAAATTAAGATTATCAAAGTTTAAATGAAGGGAAAATTCCTTCATATCTCTCTTAGTGTGGTCACTACCAAGGGTATGGAGGAGAGTTTGGTGGAGTGGATTTTGGGTAGTTTTCTTGATTTGCTCCACTAAAATTCTTTGTTCTCTTACCTTGGTCACCCTTCTCTGTTTGAATTTAAAAGTTCAGTTTTGCAATTTTTTCCAACCTCTTCTACCACTTGCACTTAAATCTCCTAATGGTGAATTTAACAAACTTTTGAGGTCCTCTTGATTCGTTGAAACTCATATGTGAGTCCAAAATTGTATTTATTTTGTTTGTGGTGTCAAATACTGTACAATGCTGACTATTCGTAGCGACATTGGATGGAGCAACACTGTATTGGTACTCAAAGTTGACGTTTGGTTCTATTAGAATCTTTAGTGACTTTAAGAATAGACTACCTAATAACTTATTAGATTCACAAAAAGCCAAGGAAAGTGGTTCTATTTTTTTTCTAAAAGAAATGAGACACTTTATAATTATAAGACTTATTTAAACAATGAGAAATCAGAGGTCCATTCCTTGAATAAATGGTTAGAAAACGTAGTTCTGATGAAGGGCTATGGGATGGCAAATTCAAGTATATTACCAACAAAAATATATGCATGTAGAAAAGCTAAGTAGATGGTTAAACAATTTTGTCTTAAAAAGAAGGGCACCAAGTGTTGACTCAGAGAATAACATGAGGTGGAAATTTGATTGTTGATCAAAAGAAGACGGTAACCAAGCAATGGCATATCCATTGTAGTTATCATATTTGGGACTAGACAACAAACATCATCTACCTCTGCTACCAGTGAACCATGCAATGAATGGTGGCATCAACTCAAGATTGAGAAAGGGTTTTCAAGGCCCATATAGATGGCTTCATATTCATAAATTCGTGACATTAAGAAATTTTTGTGATATCATAACATTCACTGACATGATGGATAAATGCAAACAACTTTATTAAATGAATAATGCCATTTAGGGATTTCAATTTAGGACGTGAGAAGGAAATCATGACTTGGGAGAATAAAACAGACCTTCAATTGTAGGAGTAATCAAGGCATTTATTGGTGAGGATGGCTAGGAGATAGTAAAGCAGAGTAGCCTACTCAATTTTATCTTCACTATGGTAAACCATCTTTATAATCCATCTCATCATTTTTTTCTTGATGCAGATCTTAATTTATATGATGATGCAAATACCATATGAGTTGTGATTAACATTTTGCAAGTTGAGGTAATAATGTAGAGTAGCCTATGCTGCTAATTTTTTTTGGAGGTAAACTATCTTTAAAATCAATCACGTCATTTCTTCTCCAACGAAGAAGGGAAGAAATTTTTATTCCTTGATATTTTTATAGTGATGCAAATGTTGTTTGAATTAAGGTTACCATTCTAAAGTTAGAAGAATAATTACTAGAATCAGAGAGCTTAGTAGATACATGTTTTTATTAGAATTTTAGAAAATTCATTGTAAAATAATAAGAACTTCGATCATTATATTTTGCAATTGTTATGATTCTTTTGACTTGAAAGCTCATTTTGGCCAGCCTCTCCTTAACTCATTTAAAACATTACTTTCAACTTACCACATGGCTGTAAAGTATGCAGCTGTTACAAAACTTACAACTGTCAAATTGCATTTCGTGCTATCAGTGTTTTGCTCCCTCAGCTTGATAAGAATTCAATCACAAATCATGATGAATGAAAGCCAAATATGAGATGACGTGATAAAAGAAGATGAAATCTTTTAAAAAATCAAGCAATACAATCTATTACACAACCTTCTAAACCAACCCAAGAAATCTTAGTGGATAGCTGGTTTAGGGATAACTTTCTATTTAAGCAACCTTATTTGAAATGATCTTTTTTTTTGAGCTAATCAATATTTTAAGAAGTAATAAGGATGTTTTTAATTAGGGCACATAAAAAATGCCATGAATGATTTGAAAAGCCAATCATGGTACTCGAGTAAATTACGATAGTCACCCAATTAAATGAAAAATTGGGAAGAAACAAACATGGTAAGGGAGGACATCTTAATGGTCATTGAAAATTGCTAATAGTGGACATCTTTAGAGAAGTTCAATACCTATGATAAATAGCCAATGTGATGCTGTAAAAGACAATTGGTAAATGAATTTTGTGCAGTGATCACACATATTTAAATTGAGCGAGTCTAAAAGATGCATAACTTTAACTTTTGTTGTTGAACATTGATCTTGTGGTGATATTAGTTGGATATCCCTTGTTAAGATTTCTTCATGCTTTCTTAGCTTATTATCAATTGAAAGTTTATCCAGATGACAAAAAAAAAATCACTTTTTTTAATATATGGGATTAATCATACAAGTTGATATCATTCGAGTTGAAGAATATTGTAGCGATTTACTAATGGATGATGGACAATATGTTAACATTCAAAAAATGCAACATGTGAAATTTATGTTGACT